CCCCATGCCCCATGCCCATTGCCCCATGCCCAATGCCCCTTGCCCCATGCCCCATGCCCATTGCCCCATGCCCAATGCCCCTTGCCCCATGCCCCATGCCCATTGCCCCATGCCCCATGCCCATTGCCCCATGCCCCATGCCCATTGCCCCATGCCCAATGCCCCTTGCCCCATGCCCCATGCCCATTGCCCCATGCCCCATGCCCATTGCCCCATGCCCAATGCCCCTTGCCCCATGCCCCATGCCCATTGCCCCATGCCCCATGCCCATTGCCCCATGCCCAATGCCCCATGCCCCATGCCCATTGCCCCATGCCCAATGCCCCTTGCCCCATGCCCCATGTCCCATGCTTAATGTTCCATGCCCCATGCGTCATGCCCCGTCCACCATGCACCTTGCCCGGGATGTGCTTGACGTGACCAAGCACAAAATGCATTCATGCTGGCCCATGCCCCATACCCATACCCCACACCCCATACCCATACCCCACACCCCATATCCGTACCCCACACCCCATACCCATACCCCACACCCCACACCCCATACCCATACCCACACACCCCATACCCATACCCCACACCCCATACCCATACCCCACACCCCATACCCCGTACGCCATACCCCATACCCCATACCCCATACCCCATACGCTGTATCCCACACCCCGTAACCCACACCCCGTACCCCATACGCCATACCCCATACCCCATACCCCATATCCCATACCCCATACCCCGTACGCTGTACCCCACACCCTGTACCCCACACCCCGTAACCCATACCCCATACCCCATACCCCATGCGTGCAGGGACGTGTTTGACGTGACCAAGGGCAGGAAGCACTACGGCAAGGGGCAGGGCTACAACCACTTCGCTGGCAGGTCAGTGCGCCAGGTTGCCAGGTCAGCCCCAGGCTGCCAGGTCAGCCTCAGGGTGCCAGGTTAGTGTTCAAGGGCAAAGTCAACGTGGACGTTTCACAGAAGCCACCACAATGCGACTCGCTTAAGGATATCCATCCACTTGGCCTGAGGACCCCCCGAAAGCTGAGGACCCCCCGAAAGCTTATTCTACCTAACTGCACAAGATGACTGTTTAGCCGACTCGAGTCATAACCTGAGGAACTCCCAAGAGCTCATCCCAACTCTTGAGAACACAATGCACACGCCGTGCGAAACGATACGACTTTTGAGTCGACTCAAGAGCTCAGCCTAACCGCGCACCGCACACGTTGAAACTAAATAACTATAGCGGCCCAGGGCGCGCCTACTGCTGGTGGTTCAGTGCCTTGTTGCGTCGACTCAAAAGCTTTTAGTCAACTGAGAATGACGTTTGAGTCGACTCCAAAGTCATCTCGACGAAACTAAAGGAACTATAGGGGCTCAGGGCGCACCTGCTGCTGGTGCGTCAGTGCCTGTTTCGGTGGGGGCTGGATGGAGTTGTGCTTTTGAACGCCATTCATTTGCTTAATGCTGTTTTTCTGCCCCATCCTCTGCCTCCATTCCACTTCTCTGCATCTCTACGGTGGAGACTCTACCCCCAACCCACATGTGGCATCCGCTCTCCCCGGCCCTATCACACTCACTCACTCCTTTCCGCCCCTCTCTCTCACACCTCCCCGCCATTTCTCTCAGGGATGCTACCAGGGCATTCGTCTCAGGCAATTTCTCAGGTATGACGGACCATGCCATTCCATGCCATGCCATGCCATGCCATGCCATGCCATGCCATGACATGCCATGCCGCATTAATTCCATGCCAAACTGCGACATGCTATGCCAGACTATGCCAGGCTTTATCATCCCATGAGAAGCCAAGCCAACCCATGCCATGCCTATCATACCACTTTTGTGTGGTAAGCCTGCGTCGTACTTGATTTAAGTCCCCTTGTCCACGGCTGACAATCTGTCATCCACTTGCACCACATGGCACCACACGGCACCTCTTTGCACCGCATGGCACCGCATGGCACCACATGGCACCTCAGGCACCTCATGGAGCCTATATCCCTCTCCCTCGCATCTTCCTTGCTCCCTGTCCACCTCTGCCTTCTTCAGCCCTTTTCCATCCCTTTCCACCGCTTACCATCCCTCTCCATCCTGCAGGTGACGGCTTAACGGACGACCTGACGGGGCTGTCAGGCGAGCAATGCATCGGCATTGCAGACTGGCGCGACTTCTACTTCAAAACCTACATGTGAGTCACCGTCACGTGAGAAGGAAAACCCGTGCATGATACCTTTTTGTGCATGCGTTGGGGCTCAGGAGTCAGGACCCCATTATTCTCGCCGTTCTCTGTGCTGCGTGGGTATGAGGAGAAAGCATGTGAGGGGCTGTCAGGCGAGCAGTGCATTGGTATTGCTGACTGGGGGGATTTCTACTTCAAAACCTACATGTGAATCACTGTCATGTATAAGACGATCATGTGCGTGCGTTGGGGCTCAGGACCGGGAATGTCTCCCTGCCTGCCTTCACCCTTCACCCCTTTTCCTCCTTGCTTTGCCCTGCCCTCTTTCCTACCAGCCACGTGGGCAAGCTGGTGGGGCGGTTTTACGACGAGCAGGGCAAGCCAAAAGATGCTCTGGGGGAGTTTGACGTTCTTTTGAAGGAAGGCAAGCGGCTGAGGGATGTGGCCAAGGTGGCGGAGAAGAAATACCCCGGATGCAACTCACGATGGGCTCAGAACGAGGGCGGCAAGGTGGGGCCTCTCCCTCCCTGCTCCAACCCTCTCTCCGCTCCTCTCGCCCCTCTTCTCATAAGTTGGTCCTGGCTTCCCTCCAGACGCGGAGGGCAGGCCGGTGGGGGGACGGTTTTGAGGGAAATCTTGGCTTCCCTCCTTCTCATGATCGCGCTGTGCGATTATCCAGGTTGAACATGATCGCAGGTTGAACATGATCGCAGGTTGAACATGATCGCAGGTTGAACATGATCGCAGGTTGAACATGATCGCGCTGTGCGTGCCTCACCTTGTGATGCCTCCTCGTTCCCCCCTGACCTCGCCTTCATACCGTCATCCCTCCATCCCCTCCCTTCACCCATCTCTCCTCCAGGTGTGATGTGACAGTGAGTTCTCCTGGAGGAGAGTTCCCCCAAATCCCAGAGGCGGAGGGCGGGCCAGTCAGGGGCAGGGAGGACACGCGCTGTGCGTGTGTGTCCCCATTTCCTCTTTCCCTCCTTTCTAACAATCGCCTCTATATGTTCATCCCTCCACCCCTCTATCCTCTCTCTCTCCCTCTCTTTCCCCAGGTGTGGTGTGACTCTGGGGTGCCTCGTAAGATTCCCCGAATCCCCGAGGCAGAAGGGGGGCCGGTGGGGGGTAGTGAGGACACACGCTGTGCGTGCGTCACCTCCTCATTCTTTCCTCTCTCCCCGTCATCCCCTCTCTCACCCAGGTGTGGTGTGACTCGGGTGTCCCCAGGAAAATCCCCCGGATCCCAGAGGCAGAAGGGGGGCCGGTGGGGGGCAGTGAGGACACGCGCTGTGCGTGCTTCACTAAAGAGCAGCTCGCCTCGCGCTCTGACCTTCAGGAGTACGATGGGTGCGACCCTGACGCCACCAAGTGCGTGTCCTCCCCTCCTGAGGACCCTAACGCTGCGTCTCTGGGGGATGGGAGTGAGGAGGAGGATTAATGAGGGGAGTGAGGCAGCGAGGGGGTGGGGTATGGGGGGAGTGGGGATGGCAGGTAGTGTGGGATGCAGGGAGGGGTTAAAGCGGCTGCCAGTGGGGGATGCACCAAGCAGCAGCTAGCTTGCCTTGCGCTCCTACCTACATCGGTACGATGGGTGCGAGCCTGACGCCACCAAGTGTGTCTCTTCCCCTCCTGAACGACCCCAGTGCTGTGTCCCTGGAGGATGGGAGCGAGGAGGAGGAATGAAGGGCAAGTAACGGAGAGAGAGGGTTGTACTAGTGCTGAGCCTTAAGGGCGGGACTGGGAGTGGAAAGGTAGGATGGGCGAACAGAGACTGGCAGCATGAGATGCTGTTCACAAGTTAAGTACCAGTTTGGTTGAGAGAAGTATAGGCAGCTAGTGGTGGGGGGACGGTTTTGAGGGAAATCTTGGCTTCCCTCCTTACCAATATGGTAGGTTCTGTGGTAGGGGAGACGTGTCGTTGTACTAGTACTGCATACTAGAAGTTATTTGCTGTGATATGCCTCAGGTAACCTGTAATGTTTCTTGGTGAACCTTTGTAAACAGCATTAGCTGCCGAGCAGCCCTGCAAGCAGGGCCTCAGATTGGTTTTGGGCTAGTCTGCAAGGCGACCAGCATTCACATGATTGAACAAGTGTTTTGAGACGTCTCATAACACGTCTGCAAGGCGACCAGCATTCACACGGTACAGTCATGTACGATACCAAGTAGAGCGTTCATGCACCTCCCACCAATGGCAGGCACCATGAAAGCCTGGAGACGCCAAAGCAACGCAGCACTTGAAGCTCCTTTTCCTCTAGCCAATGGAGATGGGGATGGTCTCAAACCAGACGCATCACTGGGTGATGATCTCATTTCAAACCAGACGCATCACTGGGTGATGATCTCATTTCAAACCAGACGCATCACTGGGTGATGATCTCATTTCAAACCGGACACATCACTGGGTGATGATCTCATTTCAAACCGGACACATCACTGGGTGATGATCTCATTTCAAACCGGACACATCACTGGGTGATGATCTCATTTCTAACCGGACACATCACTCCACGGCTGCTCCACTCCACGGTCTGTTAATTTGATCCACAACGCTACACTCTCTCCACTCATTCCCATGCCATCCCTCATTCGCCCCTCTCCGCCTCTTCTGCACCTCCCACATCTGCCTTCATCCCACCAACCAACCACTCTCATCCACTGCACCGCCACTAGTGCCACCACTAGCTGCCTATACTTCTCCTGCTGCTGTTTCACCTCCTGCTCGCCCAGCTATCTGCTCCATCCTTCTACCATACCTCACACCCCCTTCTCCCCCTCCCCTGCACCTCCCATGCCAGCCTCCCTCCCTCCACTAGCCATTTCCAGCCGTTGTGCTGCCACTCCCCGTCAGAACTCCTCCTGCCTCTTCTCCACCTCCTCCTGCCTCTTCTGCACCTCCTCCTGCCTCTTCTGCACCTCCTCCTGCCTCTTCTGCACCTCCTCCTGCCTCTTCTGCACCTCCATCCTGGCCCCCACCGTACCTCACCCCCTCTTCTCCCTCTCCCCTGCACCTCCCCTCCCAGCCTCCCTCCCCCCACCACCCATTTCCAGCAGTTTTGCTGCTGCCACTCTCCGTCTGAATTCCTCCTGCCGCTTTTTCACCTCCTCCTCTCCTAGCCACTTGCTCCATTCCCGTGCTACCCTCATTCGGCCTTTTCCCTCCCTTCTGCACCTCCCACACCTCCCTCCCTCCCTGAACCAGCCATTTCCAGCCGCTGTGCTGCTGCCACTCTCTGTCTGAACTCCTCCTGCCGCTGCTTCACCTCGTCCTCACCTAGCCGCCGCACCGGCAGCCATTCTGGCCACTCCCACCGCCCTCCCTCCTTCACCCCTGCCTGCTCGCTCCGCTCTCCCACGCCCTGCTCCTTCCCTTGCAGTGCTCCTGCCTGGGCTCCTGCTGCTGCTGCTGGTGACTGTGAGAGGGGGGCTGCAGTGGCATCTGGTGGGGAAGAAGCTGCAGTGGCTGCACCTGTGTCTGCTGCCATGTGTGCATGGGAGGCATGAGGGTCGCCTGTGTGGTCTGCCATGCGGGCAGCCATGAGCTGCTGAATGCGCCACTCCTTGAAACTTTCCACGGCTGCCCGGTGCCCTGCCCCGGCCAGGCCAAACATTACAGCTGCCCGGATGGCGATGTCTCTGCTGCCTGGAGGACAGAGGGGAAGAGAGGAAACGCAACAGGGGAGAGGAGAAGGCGTAAGAGAAACCATGGAGATTCCTGTGCTGACCCCTGCGTGACTGCACTGTAGCCTCCTAAACAACAGAGAAAGATGCGAAGGACATTCACCTCTACAGACTCCACCTCCCCCCTTTCCCTCTCACCTCTCCCTCCCCACCTCTTTCCACCCACCCCAACCTCCCTCACCACCCCTCAACTCACCCTATGTAGGATAAGGACGCGTCCAATCCAACATAGCTCTAACCTCACAGCCGGCAGATGAGAGTTGCGGACAAAGCCCCCCTCAAGCAGCCAGTTTCTGAGGTGCCTCAGAAAACCTCTCCCTCCTACCTCTTCCTCACCGCTCCCCTTCCCCACCGTCCATCTAACCTTTCTCATTTACCACCCCGGCTCTCACCCGGCCCCTCTCACTCCACCCCTCATCTCTCCTCCCCTCCCCCTTTTCACCTCGAAGCGGACCAAAGAGGGCGCCAGCCAGAGCCCCCCCACAGAGCAGCCCTAAACCCTAAACCCTAAACCCGAAACCCTGGCACACCACTCTCACTCTTCCCAACCCCCCATCCTTCTCTTCTCAACCCCCTCTTACCCGTGTGTGTCTCTCTCACCACCCGCCTTCTCCTCTCCGTCTCACCGCCCATAACCCCCTCCCACCCCTCTCACTTCGCGGCCGACCGAATGGAGTCCCAGCAAGAGCGCCCCCCAGCAGCCCGTTGGTTGGGTCGGAAGCCGGGGAGGGAGATGCGCACCTCTCTCACCCTTCCCACCCCCTCACCCTTCGCTTCCCAACCACCCTCTTGCCCCTTTTCCCCAAACCTCTCACTCTTACCTGTCGTCCTCACCTCGCCCTCCCACCTCCTTCCCAACCAGCCCCTTTCCCCCTTCTCACCTGGCAAGGGACCAAACGGAGCCCCAGCGATGACTAGCCTGTTGGTAGGGTCAGAGGCCAGGGAGGGAGAATCGCACCTCTCCCACCCTTCCCACTACCCCACCCTCCCACCCTTCTCCTCCCAACCCTCCCCTCTCACCTCGCCGCCGACCAAACAGTGCCCCAGCCAGAGCCCCCTCCAGCAGCCCGTTGGTGGGGTCGGAGGCCAGAGAGAATCGCACCTCCCTCACCCTTCCAATACCTACTTGTGTCTTCCCAACCACCCTCTTATCCCAACCCTTCACACCACTCCCAACCAACTCACCCCTCAGCCGGCCAAAGAGAGCCCCAGCCAGAGCGCCCCCCAGCAGCCCGTTTGTGGGGCCAGAGGCCAAAGAGAATCGCACCTCCCTCACCCTTCCCAACAACCCAACCTTTGTCTTTCCAACCTCCCTCTTACCCCACCCCTCCCCACCCCTTTTCTCACCTCGCAGACGCCCAAAGAGAGCTCCAGCCAGAGCGCCCCCCAGCAGCCCGTTGGTGGGGTCAGAGGCCAGAGAATATCGCACCTCCCTCACTGCCTCCTCCAGACCTGAGAGGGTGTGGTTAAGGGGGGAAGGGCAGGTAGGTAGAGGGGCGGTCAATACATCCCCGAACTGCCCGTTTGTGGGATCAGAGGCCAGAGAGTATCGCACCTCCCTCACTGCCTCCTCCAGACCTGAAAAGGGGAAGGAGGGAATGGGGGCACAGGGCAAGGGAGAGGTTAGATGAAAGGGAGGAGGAAGGGAGGGTGCACGGGGTAGAGGTGGGGTTGGAGGCCAGAGAGAATCGCACCTCCCTCACTGCCTCCTCCAGACCTGCAGAGGGGGAAGATGAAAATGGGGACGGGCGGGTAAATAGGCGGTCGGAGGCCAGCGAGTATCGCACCTCCCGCACTGCCTCCTCCAGACCTGAAAAGGGGCCAAGGGGAAGTACGGGAGAGGTGGACAGGTGGACGGGTGGACGGGTGGACGGGTGGAGAGGTGGAGGGGTGGAGGGGAGGGAAAGGGGGTCACAGGGGATTTTTCAACGAGGGGTCAGAGGCCAGGGACTATTGCACCTCCCTCACTGCCTCCTCCATACGTGAAGGGGGAAACAGGGGGGAGTGGAGCAGAGGTGTTGGTGGGGTCACAACTTACAAGGTGTGGAGAGGGGTGGAAGGGGTGGGGGGGTTGTAAGGGGTGGGGGAATTGTAAGGGTTGGGGGGGTTGTAAGGGGTGGGGGGATTGTAAGGGGAGTACAGCAACGATCGCTGTTGCTGGCGGAGCTGCCCCCACCGCTGCTGCCGCCATGCCACTGCCTGCCACCTTCCCCGCACATATCACCTGCACTCTATGTTGGAAAAGACGCAAAGGCCTCGACGTATATCACGTATATACGAAAGAACGTGATACGTTTTGGTGGGTAGCCCCTGCACCACAACCTACCTTCCCCACGTCCTACCTGCCACACAGAAAGCAGCGATGCAGCAGTTGCTGGTGATGGCCACAACTGCTGCTGCTGGCGGTGCTGCCCCCACCGCTGCTGCCACCACTCCCCCCGCCATTCCCAGCACAGCTGACACGGGAAGGAGAGGAGGTGGGGAGGAGCAAAAGGATTTTTTATTTGGTGGCTTCACAAACAGTGCTGCTGGCGGTGCTGCCCCCACCCCACCATTGCTGCCACCACTCCCCCCCCCTTAGCTGCAAAAATGTCAGGGGAGGGGTTGGGGGACGCACGAGGCAGAGACTCTGAGGTGCTGCCTCAGAGGCAGAGCCTCCAAAGTCAGTGCTGCTGGCGGTTGTGCCACCGCTGCTGCCGCCACACCTCCCGTGCTTCCCACCCAGCACCGCTGCACCGCTGCTGGCAGGGTTGGAGGTTGGGGGTTGGGAGAGGGAAGGAGATGTGCTGGAGCTGCGGCTCGAATCCTTCTTCTTCGAGCTTAAGAGCACATCCTTTTTAATAACAATCGGCCCCCCTTTACCAGCGCACCACCAGTGGCCATGGCTGACTGACAGCACGCACGCCTTTCCATGCTCTAAGGGACTCTCAGTCGACTCACAACCTTTTACAATCGCACGCCCCCTCGCAGCAACACACCCCTCCCTTCAGTGGCCCCTCCCGTCGCACACTGACACATCCCCAGTCCAGCGGTTGTGGCGGACTGCGCGCACGCCTTCCACGCGCGAGGTGGCTTTTGAATCGACGCAGAAGGCAGCTTATACCAATGCACGTCCCCGCGCATTAACAGACGCCGGGTCTCTCTCACCATCATACCCGTCGCACCAACGCACCTCCACCGCCCCAACACACTCCCCATCGCGCCAACGCACCTCCAGTGGCCGTGGTGGACAGCACGCGCGCTTTCCACCTGTGAGGAGACGTACACTCAACAACACACTCAAGAGGCAGCTTTCACCTCGAAAAGCCCGCGCGCCTTCCACGCGCGACGTGGCTCCGAGTCGACACAAAAGTCACCACCTTTCACCAACGCACCTCCGTCCCTGTCGCACACCAGCATACCTCCAGTGGCAGTGGTCGACAGCACGCGCGCCTTCCACGCGCGCCCCTCGCGATACCCCTCGGGGCGGCCGCCGCCCGCCATGCCGCGCGGGCGCGAGCCGCGCGGAGGAGCAGAGCGCGCCGAGTGCTTAACGTCAATCACGTTCCGCGAATCGAGTGCGCAACGTCGCGGCGCGGGAACGTTTTCTTCGTATCGCGACAATCACGAGCCGGTCGACTCAACAGCGGCCACGCAGCAGCCGAGGAAATCCTAGCCGTACGTTGTAAGCCTTTGAAATGAGATTCTAGAGGAAGGATCTGAAACCCCTCGCAAAAAGAACGGCGATGCTCCCCAGGTGGCGATTCTCTGTCGGTGAGCACGGGGACGCAGTGCGGCTGACTTTTGAGTCGAGTCAAAAGTCACCTCGCTATAATGTGACACGGTTGTGACGGTGAGCAAGGGGACGCAATGCGGCTCGGATCTACGATGATCCCTGTGGGGCAGAATAATCGACTGATGATGCATGAAAAGCTCCGTTTGTGAAGGCTGATCGGGCTTGGGCGATTAGGGCGTGTAAAATCGGCAGACACAAATATTCGGCCACAAAGCCGACTGGCCGAATTGGCGAAAGTAACACATTCACGAAATTAATGAGCTCCGTTGCGAAAGTCGCAAATTTCGCGAATGTCATGCGAATTTGATGGCCGTAAGAGTGGTCGACTCGGCTTTCAACATCGAGTCGACTCGAAATCAGCCACGTTCCCGCCCCGTCGTTGCGACGTTGACAGCAGGTGTCGCAAGACTCCGCATGCGACGCCAAACAGAAACCACGTTCACGTCACCACCGCACGTACACAACGTCTGGACAGGCTCAAATGCACAGGGGCTGCCTGTAACAGCCCCGTAGCTAACAGACGGGTTGCACGCTGAGTGAAAGTGGTGGCCATTGAGGGGCTGAATGAAGTGCCAGGGAGTGGTTACTTTTAATAGTGCTGTGGCTCTTGGCTAAATGTGCGTTGCTGACCCCTGTGTGAACGGAGCCGCGGTAGCAATGTTCAGGCCGTGGTCGAGCTTGGAGTGGCGTTCCAATATCGGGTGCACATGTGCGACTCCGTCGCACAATTCGGCCATTTGAAAGTTTACAACTTCCTGGAGTCGGCCAGCAATTCGCTCTGGAAAGTTGTAAAATTTGCAGACTTGCAAATACTGGCCGGTTATTGGCCGACTCTGATTCGGCCATCTGGTCGACATGTGCGAAAGAAGCGTCGACCATTTGGACGACAAAATCCCAGCCAAACCCAATTTTTCAAAATGCTCGCCGATTTTACACGCCCTTACCTCAAGAAAATTCCTAGTTCTATTCGTCCCTCCACAATCAAGAGTGGTGTTCTCCAGTCTCAACCTGGGGTCAGATTTCGTTTGAGGTTCGATCCTGAGTCCAAAGGTCGACCTAAAAGGATCTTTTGAACCGTTATCTCAAGAATCAATTTTTGGAGATAGAAGTTTCCCATTCGATGAAAATGGATCGAGATTAGCGAAAGTTTGTAGCAGAGGTAACTGGTAACACATGCCCTGAGTTCCCTGTGGCGAGAAATTTGCAACAAGAAAACGCGGAAACATTCCCTGTCCGCCAGCTCGTGTTTGCTGTAGTCTTAGCATGCGAACCTGTTACCTGATCTGAGTAACAGGGTCTTGGGACGGAAAGATTAGTAGAAAAATGCACTTTAGTAGCGTCTTGTGAGAATCGCATCGCTACCTTTTTCTACTCACGAGTAACTTCCAGGTTTTAAACGAAACGCAGAAGGCGGCAAAACGAGTTGTTTGGACACGAAGCGACCTTTTTTTCGTGGAGAAATTATCCCTCGTGCCCGCGTCTACCGCGTCTGAAGCGGTCGTTTCTTTAGGCGCTGACAGTTTCGTTGCCCGCACGGCCTCCGCGCTTACAGCATCCGCGAGCCGCGTTCTGCGCGCTTCGCCATTTCGCGCCATGGCTCCGGTGAGATGCGCCCCTCGCCGCTTCCTCGCTTACTACATGGGCTCCCTTCCTCCGCCATTCCGCTTGCGTACTACGCGCGTTCTCGCTCGCGCGCGTCCTGTCCGCGCCTTCCATCCCGCCAATCAAAGGAAAAGCCCCCCCGCCTCGCCTCAGAGGGCGCAGCAGGAGCGGCGCTACCGTCCCCCTCATCCCCCCTCACTTTCCCCCTTTCCCCTTTTTCTCACCTTCCCCCACCTCGTCACCCCATCTTTCCAATTAGCTGCCCATGCTAAGCTTGATCTCTTTCCCCCATCCCCCCATCCCTTCCCCCCTTCAACAATGCCACACGCCACCCCTCCCGGCCCCCTTCCTGAACCTAGTGGGAGCGTGGGAGTGGGTGCGGGATAATTGGGGCGGCTGCAATTCCACTCCAATTTCTAGGCGCTCAAGAAGTACACTCCACGCCCTCCTTTCTCATACCTTTCGCCCCCCTCTCCCCCTCCTTTCCCACACTCTCCCACCTCCCCGGCCTTCCTCCCCCCCCCTCCCTCCTCCCCCAGCCCATCTCCCCCAAGTGGTTGCCCATGTATCGGTGGCTTGCCTCCCTCCCCCCAACCACACCCACCCTTGCGGCATGGGTGGTGCGGCAGTGGGTGCAGCAGGAGTGGGGGGATGGGGTGGAATTGCGGGTGCCCCCTTTCCCCTCCCCTCCTTCCTCACACATTTCATTTTTCACCCCCAACCCTCCCCTCCCTCCCGCTACACTCTCCCTTTACCCCCCCTTCCCGCCTTGCAACCCCCAGCCCATCTCCCCCAAGTGGCTGCCCATGTATCGGTGGCTTGCCTCCCTCCCCCCAAGCACACCCACCCTTGCCGCGTGGGAGGTGCGGCAGTGGGTGCAGCAGGAGTGGGCGCGACTACCCCTAGAGCTCAGACGCACTCCCATGCAGCGCATAGTGCAGTACACTGTTACCGCTTTCCACCGCATTAAACACCAGGGGGGGCTGGGGGTTGTGGCTGAGGGGATGATTCAGGGAGGGGGATTGATGGGGGAAGAGGAGGGGGAGGAGGGTGTGGTTAGAGAGAGTGGGGATGGGAGGGGGAGGGAGGCAGGGAGGGGGAGAGATGGAGGGAGGAGAGATGGAGGGAGTGGGGGAGACAGAGGGATGGGGAGAGGGGCAGAGAGGAGACGAGGGGCAGGGGTTGGAGCAGAGCGTTCTGACTATAATGAGTGTCGGAGCAGTGGGGAGAGAGGAGATGCGGAGGAGGGGAACGAGGATGGGGAAGGAGAGGAGGTGGGAGAAGAGCGGAGGGGAGGAGAGGAGCGGAGGGGAGGAGAGGGATACGCTGGGAGGCGCAGGCGGTGGGGAGGAAGAATGGCGACATACACAGAGGTGAGATGAGGTGGGGTGGGGTGAAGTGAGGTGAGGTTATGTGAGGTGACTAACCTTGATTGCAACCTCACTGCACCCTCACTCTTGAGCTGGCAGCCTCTGCATAGATGTGTGTTTTGTGTGGGCGTGGAAACGATGTATAGTAACTTAAAAGTTGTGACTGACGTGACGGTTTGGCCGAGTGGTCTAAGGCGCTGGATTTAGGCTCCAGTCTTGAAAAAGGCGTGGGTTCAAATCCCACAGCCGTCACGAATGTTGAGCTTGAGATGTTACACGTTTTGGTCTTCCTTCCTCTTTCAAACCCAATCTTCCTTCCTCTTTCAAACCCAATCTTCCTTCCTCTTTCAAACCCAATCTTCCTTCCTCGTTCAAACCCAATCTTCCTTCCTCGTTCAAACCCAATCTTCCTTCCTCGTTCAAACCCAATCTTCCTTCCTCGTTCAAACCCAATCTTCCTTCCTCTTTCAAACCCAATCTTCCTTCAGTGTGCTTTTTTTTACTCTCGCTCTTCTCTGCTCCCCCTCTTCTCGCCTTTCCGAAAGTCAATTCGCCAGAAAAAAAGACCTTTCTGTGCAATGAGCATAAAAAGATACAGACAATCCTGCAATGGCTGGCACCTGCAACATTTTTGTCAGCTTGTTCAACTTACCTCCCGTTTCCCCCCTATCTCCGCTATTTTCCCGTCTCCCTTAACTCCCCGTCCTCCCTATTTCCCTATCTCCCCCATACCCCCCTCTGTCTTCCAGCATCCCATGAAAAAGCGGAGGGCAGTGGAAGCAGCGATGGGAGGGGAGGCAGCAGAGGCGCAGGAGGTGGGGCGCATGGTGCGGCAGCAGCACTGCGCTCTCGTGAACCACTTCAACAGGTAGGCTGCGTGAGGCATCTGATGGAGCCTTCACCGTTGTTGATCGGCGAATTTTGGAGTTGCTTCTGAGAATTCTCAGAAGCTACTTCAACAGTCGGGCTATCTCAGAAGCAGCTTCAACAGGTGGGCTGCGTGAAACATCTGATGGAGCCTTCACCGTTGTTGATCAGACAATTCTCTCAAACCTCCATCCATGCCATCTCTCGACCCCTCCTTCCTCCCTCCCCTGTCTATTTTGAGGCGGCTAAATTCTTGAGTCGCCAATAAAATGGAGCGTTCACTGTTGCTGATCGCCCATTGTGTTCTCTCAAACCTCCACCCATGCCATCTCTCGACCCCTCCTTCCTCCCTCCCCTGTTTTTGAGGCGCCTGATTGATGGAGCCTTCACTGTTGTTGATCAGCCAATGTTTTTTCAAACCTCCACCCATGCCATCTCTCGTCTCTCAAACCTCCACCCATGCCATCTCTCGACCCCTCCTTCCTCCCTCCCCTACGCGCCCTTACCTCCCACCAAGCTGCATGGCACACTGCAGTGGCGTGTGGCTACAGGGTGGCAGTGGGGCGGGCTGGGTGATGGGCCTGAGAGATGGAGCACAGTGATTTCTCCTTTATCCAGCTGTGCTTATCTTCTCCTCTCATATTCCGTCTCGTTTTCCCTTTCCTCACAATTTTTGCACCCCTCTCCTGCCAGCCTCGTGTTGCTGCAGTGCCACCTGCTGTTGCTGCAGGGAGGCAGTGGGGAGATGAGGGACGAGGGCTGAGAAGGACTGAAGTGCTTTCATCTCCCCACTTTCTCCTCTCTCATTTCCTATAACATTCCGTCCCGTATTCCCTTTCCTCACGTTCATTCGTTGCCCTAACCTGCCAGCCTTGTGTTGCTGCAGCGCCACCTGCTGCTGCTGCAGGGAGACTGTGGGCAGAGAAGGGACGAAGGCTTGGGGCAAGGGAAGAGGGAGGAAAGGGGGAAAGGGGAGGATCAAAGGAGTAAGGGGAGAGAGGAGCAGGGGAGTCTGGGGCAGAGGGGGCAAGAGGGTAAGACGCTGGAGGAGCAAAGTGGGAAAGGGAAGGGGGAGGGAGGGGATGGTGACAAGCAGACAAGCGCCGTGAGATGCCACGAGTTCGTACCTCCATGGAAGGCCCCTTTCGCCTCCCACCACTGCTCTCAGAGGAGCGTTGAGGGACGTGAGGTGAAGGGGAGGCGACAGGGAGAGAGTCAGGGAACACAGCCTACAGTGGAGGGGAGTTTTAAGTTGGGCGTGACCCCAGAGGTGACTCAGGAGCGAATGGTGAGGGACTATCCTCAACGGTTAGGGGTTGAGGGGCCGGGGGTGGGGAGTAAGGGTGGAAAAGGGGAGGGTTCAGAGGCTACGCTAGAGGCATGGGTGGTGTGCAGTATTGACTATCACCGGTGTGACTTTAAGGGGGGGAGGAGCAGCGATGGGGGTTCCAGGGAGGTGTGTGGAGGTGGGGGGAAGCTCGGCAGGCAAGCTGGGCGCGGTCTGGGCAGGCAGGACGCTGGAAGACAATGGGCAGATGCGGAGATGAAGACGAAGACGATGGGACGATGGGCAATGGGACATGATGGGAAACAGGAAGACGAAGAGGAGGATGAGGCTGAAGAGGAGGTGAAGCAGCGGGGGGGGAAGTGGACAGGGAACGGAGGGAGGGAGGTTGTTGGGGGAGAGACGAAGAAAGGGGGTTCGAGGGAGCAGGATGCCGGGCACAGTGTAGGTCCTGCCAATGCCAAGGCATGGGAGGGAAAGAGGGTCTGCTGCGGAGATGCACCAAGGACGGTCGGCAGCAGTGCAGAAAGGGCTGTTGGGACGGGTGCTAGGGATGGGGGTGTGAGTGGGGCGTTGAGGGCGAGGGAGAGTGGGCGAGGGTACAGACGGCAGGCAGGGTGCGGGGAGGGTGGAAATGCGGGCAGCAGAGGGAGGTGGATGCGGGCTAAGAGCGCTCAGAGCTACTCGGCTGTTTGGACAGGTGCAGTGGGGTGGAATAGGGTGGGTGGGTTCCCAACAGTCAATTGCTTCCCATTGGATTTTTTTCCAATGTTGAGGTATCCTGGATTTTCATTTGTGGTGCTGTGCTGTGCGGTGCTGTGTGGTGCTGGAATGATCTGGCAGGATGGGGATCATTGGACAACCCTCGTCGAGGCCTGGGGTCTGTCCTCTGCCAATCAGGAGCTGACACGTGGCGTCCTAGCTGGGCCAGCTACACCTCCCATGCTGCTGACGCGCCGACCACCAACATCAGCGATGTGAGATGATGGGAAATGGTGGGATGATGATGGGATGATAGACTGTGGTGGGATGGGTGGGATGATGATGGGGAGATGGGTGGGATGATGATGGGGAGATGGGTGGGATGATGATGGGGAGATGGGTGGGATGATGATGGGGAGATGGGTGGGATGATGATGGGGAGATGGGTGGGATGATGATGGGGAGATGGGTGGGATGATGATGGGGAGATGGGTGGGATGATGATGGGGAGATGGGTGGGATGATGATGGGGAGATGGGTGGGATGATGATGGGGAGATGGGTGGGATGATGATGGGGAGATGGGTGGGATGATGATGGGGAGATGGGTGGGATGATGATGGGATGGTGGGATGATGATGGGATGGTGGGATGATGATGGGATGGTGGGATGATGATGGGATGGTGGTATGGTATGGTGGTATGGGATGGTGGTATGGTATGGTGGTATGGTATGGTGGTATGGTATGGTGGTATGGTATGGTGGTATGGTATTGTGGCATTGTGGCATTGTGGTATGGTGGGATGATAGGCTGTGGTGGGATGGTGGGATGGTGAGGTGGTGGGATGGCGTGTGAGAAGAGCATGCTGGGTGTGCCATGCCATGCTAAACCACTCCCATTCTAATCCAATGCCCAACCTCACTGATACCATTTCCACATCTGCTCATCTTATCTCGCTGCCATGCCATTTGGGCCACATCACATGTTCCCCACATCACATGTTCCCCACATCACATGTTCCCCACATCACGTGTTCCCCACATCACGTGTTCCCCACATCACGTGTTCCCCACATCACATGTTCCCCACATCACATGTTCCCCACATCACATGTTCCCCACATCACATCTTCCCCACATCACATGTTCCCCACATCTATTCCCCATCGTCCATCGTGCCACTTTTCGAAATTTCTCAAGATGCACATCTGCGCGGCCTTCACTGTGGTCTGTGGTGTGACACGGTGTGGTGCGATTGAATGTGGTGGATTTGTTTTTTTGCCATCTCACACGTCATCATGTGTGCATGCATGCGATCTGTTGCCAGCTGGCAGTGCAGAAGGTGTTGGATGCGCGCTTCCATCCCAAGGGCTTGCCTCAGCTCGTCATTGGCTGCAACGAGGTGAGTGAGTGGTGCGAGTGATTCACATGGGGACTGCTTGCGACGATCAGCACAACTCATTGCCGTGACTATGAACATTGTGTGTTTTCCGGACCTTTATTTTTCTGAGGCGCCTCTAAAATAGGCGTTTCACGGCTTATCCACAATGAGCCTCCCCTCGGTCTTCCCTGCCCCCTGGGCCCCCCTGCTCCCTGCCCCCTGTCCTCCCTACCCTCTGCGCCCTACCCAACCACCCCACCAGGCGCCCAACGAGCTGTTATTCTTCGACCTCTCCACAGGCTCCCAATGAGCCTCCCCTCTGTCCGCATTGCCCCCTTCTCCCCTCCCCTCCCCTCTGCCTCCTGCCCCACCACCCCACCAGGCGCCCAACGAGTTGCTCCTCTTCGACCTCTCAACGTGCTCCCGATAAGCCTCCCCTCTGTCCGCGCTGGCCGCTTCTCCCCCCTCCCCTCCCCTCCCCTCCCCTCCCCTCCCCTCCCCTCCCCTCCCCTCCCCTCTGCCCCCTGCCCCACCACCCCACCAGGCGCCCAACGAGTTGCTCCTATTCGACCTCTCCTCCGGCTCGCACCGCCCCTTGCAAGGCCACGCCTGCCAGGTGCTGCCTCTCTCGCCCCTGCCAGCTGTCACCGTTCACTCCTCCACATTGTTTCACTGCCATCCGCAATCCCTATCTATCCCGAATTCCTTGGAGAGGCACCCTCCTCGTGCACCTCACCTCACCCCATCACGTCACTTCCTGGTTTCAGATCCCGACAGTGACGTGAAGCATGCCCTGCATTGCATCCTTACCTTATCCTATCTCAAAATCACAGAAAAAAAAAAACACACACAAAAAAAACAAAAGGCAGATACGGACAGTGAAGTGAATTATGCCTGGCGTCCAGACCTTATCCTATCCCCCCCCATCCCTTCCCCTGTGGTTTCCTCCCCCATGTGCCATAACTGCGATACCTATGCAACTCACCCCACCCCACCCCACCCCACCCACCCAACCCACCCCACCGCACCCCACCGCATCACCACGGCACCAGATCCAGGCGATGGAGTATGCCGTGGATGGTGACGTCATCCCCTCCCCCATCTTTCCCCCCCCATTTTCTTTCTCGTGTGCCGTAACTCCCATCCCCATCACAACACATCCCCACCCCTCCCCACCTCATTACACCATGGCAGATCCAGGCTGTGGAGTATGCCATGGATGGTGACGTCATCCTCTCCTGTGGGGGCTCTACACTCAAGGTGAGAGAGGACTTGCCTTTCCATGCCTTCGCTGCCATGCACTGCCATGCCTTGCCATGCCTTTGCCATGCCTTTGCCATGCCTTTGCCATGCCTTTGCCATGCCTTTGCCATGCCTTTGCCATGCACTGCCATGCCTTTGCCATGCCTTTGCCATGCCTTTGCCATGCCTTTGCCATGCCTTTGCCATGGTGGCTGGCTTGACAGGATACTCGAAACACTTAAGTAATGGCCTGTCCATACCCACGAGTGTACTCGTGGCCATCCCACGCTTTTCAGGCATCCCACGCTTTTCAGGCATCCCACGCTTTTCAGGCATCCCACGCTTTTCAGGCATCCCACGCTTTTCAGGCATCCCACGCTTTTCAGGCATCCCACGCTTTTCAGGCATCCCACGCTTTTCAGGCATCCCACGCTTTTCAGGCATCCCACGCTTTTCAGGCATCCCACGCTTTTCAGGCATCCCACGCTTTTCAGGCATCCCACGCTTTTCAGGCATCCCACGCTTTTCAGGCATCCCACGCTTTTCAGGCATCCCACGCTTTTCAGGCATCCCACGCTTTTCAGGCATCCCACGCTTTTCAGGCATCCCACGCTTTTCAGGCATCCCACGCTTTTCAGGCATCCCACGCTTTTCAGGCATCCCACGCTTTTCAGGCATCCCACGCTTTTCAGGCATCCCACGCTTTTCAGGCATCCCACGCTTTTCAGGCATCCCACGCTTTTCAGGCATCCCACGCTTTTCAGGCATCCCACGCTTTTCAGGCATCCCACGCTTTTCAGGCATCCCACGCTTTTCAGGCATCCCACGCTTTTCAGGCATCCCACGCTTTTCAGGCATCCCACGCTTGCCCTGCATTCAATCCCGGGCATGACTTTTGAGACGTGTCAAAAGGCATCCAACTCTTTCTCTGCATCCAAGCCCATCCATGCAGGCTACAAACCTACCGTCAATCAACCGCATTTCCGATCCACCTGCCATGGCAACCATTCCCTTCAGGTGTGGGACGCCACGTCAGCATCGCTGCTGCACTCGTGTGGGCCGGGAGTTGCTGCCACCGCCACCGCCAGTGCCAGTGGGAAGCCGTGGATTGCGTGTCATCGGTGTGGGGACCGAGGGTCCCCGTGTGGCCTGAGAGCCGTCCCCCAGGGGGGGAAGGGGACCGAGGGTCCCCGTGTGGCCTGAGAGCCGTCTCCCAGGGGGGGACGGGGACCGAGGGTCCCCGTGTGGCCTGAGAGCCGTCCCCCAAGGGGGCAAGGGGACCGAGGGTCCCCGTGTGGCCTGAGAGCCGTCCCCCAGGGGGGGAAGGGGACCGAGGGTCCCCGTGTGGCCTGAGAGCCGTCCCCCAGGGGAGGGAAGGGGACCGAGGGTCCTAGCGTGGCCTGAGAGCCGTCCCCCAGGGGGGAAGAGACTCGAAGGTCCACACGTTGGCCTTACCGTAAAATGGGCAAAAATTTCGAACAATGTGCTCGTTTGTATGACTGGATCATCCTTGGTTTTTGATGTACCCCATTTACTTTTTAATATGACCAATAAAGGCTGGTTGGAGCCCCACTGAAATCTCGGGAAGCAACTGTTCGAGTGCACCTCAAGTTGGTTTTAAAATCTTGACTTGACTCAAGTTGGTGTTCACACACTTTTAAACCACATTCCATGTTTTTCCAAATAAGGGCAATGATAATGGGATCGGTTTTCGCCATCATTCTCATCCCACTTTGTTCGATAACACCCGACAGGGAAGCAAAAGCACGCGTTGAAACGACTTGCATGCTGTCACCTGAATGGGCGTTTGGGAGTAAAAGGCGGCAATTGTGTGACCGTTCCTACCCAACCAACATGACGAATACCACACTCACCCGACTACCACTTCAAACCCTTACATCCACCCACGTTGTAGTTATTCCGGCCGGAACATCAAACGACTGGAAGTGTAGGGTAAAGCAGAGCACATGGAAGCTAAATCCCAAGATAAAAGTTGTACCGTATATTGGGCGTGTAGAGTACGGGAACCACCAGTTTCAACCACTATCCTGGTGCACCAACAACCAGGGACATCCACATCAACAGCACGAGCAACCTTCGCGCACAGCACCTCGGACGCCATCGACATGGAGCCCACGACTCACCAACGCCGCCCCTCCCGGCATTTCGTCAATGTCATCAACCGCAACTACACTCACCACGTCTTCAACGTTCCAGCTGCACATGTCTCAGAAGACCCAATTGTAATGAAGCCTGTTGCCTTTGCAAGAACAGAAAGCAAGCTTTCTCAATATGATTTTTTTCGAAAGTGTGTAACACTTTCTAAAAATCCGTATTGTGAAAGCGCAGCTGCCTGTAACGAAGCAAAGCAACGGCGAATTACAATTCGCCGAGTACATAACGAGGGTTGGAGGCCATTCGGCCTCCACCCACGACTTCATTTCAGAACTTTGCAGTTTCACTCCCCACCCACCCACCCTAGTTGTACCAATATTTGTATGATCCATAGTTGGACGAGAATGTTGTATTACTGCAATTGTAATGAAGCCAGTTGCCTTTGCAAGAACAGAAAGCAAGCTTTCTCAATCAAGTATATTAAGAAATGACAAACATGCAGAATATATACTAGGATAAAGTACCTATTCGCCTAATGTACCTTTTAGCCTGAAACGGTACGAGACTATTCGTGATACCTACAGCTACTGCTGACGTCATCCTAGAGCGCGTAGCGCTTTGCTGACGTCAGCCTATCGGTACTTTTACTGTACTAACTACACTACACGAATTCCTTGAAGTGCACAAGTCTCGATATTATCTCAACACTCCCCTTCACTTCTAGGAGTTCGATGTAATCACCCTGTTGACTCGGAAATGCCACTGAGCTGATTGCAGTGATGAAATTTCTGACGTGTCAGCTTCTTAGTAAGCGAATCAGCGGCCATGTCGCTGGTGGGGCAGTAGACAAGGCGCATTCTCCCCTTGTCGATCGCGTCTTTTACGAAGAAGTAACGTAGCGAAATGTGCTTCGTGCGATTGACGAAACCAGGCTTGTTGGCGATGGTAATCGCACTCTGGTTGTCGCACTGCAACGTGAACTGATTCGGCGTGACGAATTTTGCTTCGTCAAGCAATTCCTGCAGGTACAGACCTTCGCGAGTTGCAGCACAGGCGGCGATGAATTCTGCTTCAGCCGATGAAAGTGACACGAGTTCCTGTTTCGAGGAATTCCAGGAGATCGGACCAATCGGCTCGAGACGAAAAATATAACCCGTGCGTGACCGTCGATCTGACGTGTCGCCAGCGTGGTCCGCGTCAACGTACCCGCTGAGGTACATTTTGTCGGTCGGCTTCCCAGCGTTGAAAATCAACCCGATTGTTGGTGTAGAGACAAAGTAGCGTAGCGCACGCTGTAAATCGAGAGAGTGTTCTTCTTTCGGGCAGCGTAGAAATTGCGCAAGGTGACTTGCGACGTAAGCAAGATCAGGGCGACAGGTGACTGCTGCGAAAAGAAGACATCTCAGCTGCTGCTGATACAGTTGAAGACCAGCTGCTGACAGATTTTTCAGGTTGGGAACGTGCCCGGTGAGAGTAGATCGATAAGGTGTAGCAACGAAATCCGTGGAGATGTTGAAACGCTTAGCGAGTGACTCCGCATACTTCGAAGCCGTGAGATGAATAGCGGAAGAAGTTCGCGAAACGTTTAACCCCAGAAATTGAGTTACTTTGGTAGAAATGGTTAAGTCAAGCGATTTCTTCAGATCGGCTTCGATACGATCACCCAGCGAAGTCGACGAACTGACGTAGAGGATGTCGTCCACGTAAGCCACTAACAACGCATAGCTCCCCTTGTCGTCTAGCCGGTACATCCCGGGATCGTGCGGTAGTTGTCGAAACCCAACCTCCGTCAGCTTCCTGTTCAAATGCTGCTGCCACAGTCGCGGTGCTTGTTTGATTCCGTACAGTGACTTTTTGAGCTTGCAGACACTTGGCGGATTTGTCGGATAGGTGTGCGGATATTCGACGTAGATTTCGGCATCGACGTCAGCGTACAGAAAAGCGTTGGAAACATCAATTTGTCGAAGTGGAAAATTCTTCGCGGCTGCTTCGCAGAGAACGAGTCGAACACTCGTATGTCGACTGACCGGGGCGAAGGTAAGCGTGTAGTCGATCCCATGAGTCTGATCAAAACCGCGAACCACCCACCGTGCTTTGTGTTTCTCGTAAGTACCATCCGCTTTCGTCTTCACCCTGAAGACCCACTTACCGGTAAGAACATTTTTGTTTACCGTTTTTTCAATAGGTATAAGATCCCAAGTTTCCCTTTTCTCCAGGGCAGCCAGTTCGCGGTCCATCGCTTCACGCCATTTTTCGCGATGAGGCCCTGAGAGAGCTTGTCGGGCAGTTTTCGGCTCCAAATTTACTGTAGAACTGTGCTGTACCGCTGCTGCGAGTCCCAGAATTTGCAGTCCGGTCTGATAATGCGGATTATCGTCGGTGCGACCTGCGAAATTGACAGAATCAATCTGGTCTCCACTTGCCCCCCCAATTTCGTCAGGGTTGACACGGATGCTGCTATCGGAAACCACCGGCATTGGTTGGCGCTGTTCATCCACGAGGTAAGTATGATGAACATCGCGAACATCCTCAGGTGCCGCGTCAGCAAGAGGAATAAACTCCGGAATTCCGGGAGACGTGACAGGGACAGGTGGGTCAGGAAATGCTTCACGTGCACCGTCGGGGTCAGGTTCTTCGCTGGCAGCAAGTTCGGCGTCGGCGCTAGCGAACGAACGAACACCGTGGAAAAGTGTGGCAGGGTTTTGCTGCGTGGCAAGATGTTGTTCGAAGGCGGGCATCGTCAGATTCTCGTAGAAAATACAGTCGCGAGCAGGAACAAGGAGACGACTGCGGTAATCCATGATACGCCAGGCAAGATATTGTTTTTCAATGCCGAGATGCAGCCCCCACTTAGCACGCTGATCGAACTTCCCAAGCGGAGCGGTGGGAGGACGATATTGCACAACACACCCAAAAACTCGGAGAAGTTTCGTAGTGCCCAATTTTCCTGTCCATAACAAGTGAGGTGATGCGTTGTTTGGTAAAGCCGATGAAGACAGGAGGTTGTGCAACAGCGTTGCGTGGTCCATTGCGAAGGGCCAGTAGAGTGGGCCGAGTTGAGACTGTGCGAGGAGAGCTCGCATCTTTTCTTGCAAAGTACGATTGAGACGTTCAGCGACACCGCTCT